CGATCCCGGGTAAGCTCTGGGCTGCTGCGCTGAATGTTTTTAAGGCCGCATAGATCTTGTCTCTTGCGTTAGATCTCGCCTGGGTTCTTATTTGGCTTGAGTGTTCTCTCGCCGTGGATCTGTCACTGGCTGTTTTTTGTTGTAACCGTTCCGATCCGCTAAGTGATCTTGGATTGGCTATTGGATCACCCCAGCTGTCGACAGGAGAAGCCGCCGTTGCCGAGTCGTATTTGCGAAGGGACCCCCAACGTTAAAACCAATACCTTGGCAACTACGTTACGGGGTCATCAGCAATTACTAACGGCTTATTTAAATAACTTGGAATTATTGGTAAATGCTGTTGTGGTATGCTTGGAATTAGTTTCTACTGGTTCCATGGTAATGCCGTAAGGTATATATGATATTCCTTACAGCGCCGGCCTAAAGATTGGCACCCCAAAACAGATTTACTGTTTTCGGATTTCGGTGTCACATCAAATTTATTTCGATATAGCCTTAAATGCTGTAATCATTGCGGTTTACTCCGATTTGAGGTATCCCTGCTCAGTGATCAAAAGAGAATGCAGCATTCACCGATAAATTCAGGCAGTATGAAATGGCGACAGATATCAGGAGTTACATATGACCGCGATTGCCCTTACAACACAACGGAAAGGTTTAAAAACGGTATGTACGGATCCGGGAGAGATGTACGAGACAGGGATACGAATATTGAGATAGATGCGTAGTGTGAGTGAAAAGGGTAAGATCAAGAATAAGTACATTAGGGAAAGCATGAAATTCACAACAGTGACTGAAAATTTGGAGTTATAGGTTGACATGGTTATAAGTTGAGATGGAATGAAACTTATGTGACTAGAATAGTGAGGAATATAAATGTGATTGGAGGATCTAATGGGAAAGATTTGGATGAATTGTGTGAAGTAAGATAAAATAGCAGGAAAGGATGTGCTGTGCCCACTCCACCTAGCGGAAGATAGCAAGGAAGGGGCAGAAATAACAACAATCGTTTGATAATCGCTATTTAGTGCTGCTACGTTGCGTCAGATGAATCTTGCGTCAGATGAAACATGCCTCAGATGAAGCTTGCGTAAGATGAAGCTTTAATAGTTTCATCTAGACATCAGTTAATACAGGATGATGTTACGTAATTAATCAAGAAACTTTTAACTTTCCAATATTTATAGATTTCGTCAATTGATAAGGAATACTTTCATAATTCTTCTTAATGTTAGTAATTAAATTTTCATAAACTGTTTGCTTTAATAATTTTTCAGGATGGTAGGGCCACGCAACAGCCCCGGCTGTTGCACGAATGGGCAGGCTTGTCCGGGTAAGTACCATGACCTCACAGAAGACCAGCGTAAAGTGGAAGTAAAATACTTTCGCGTCTCGTCTGGTGAGTGAAGTGGCCGGAGCCCAATTTTCAAAAGGTGCGTTCACAACGCATCTGGAACCTTCGATTGTAGCAGATGTCCATGGGCGGCGGTATTCACTTAAAATCAGGTCTGCTCGCATGGCAACTTTTCGCATAAAAATAATTGTAAGGGATAGTTTAAAGTCGTCATGTCTCGGGATTAAATCAAATTTTTTTGTGTTGGTATGTGGACGTTAGTGATGTTTTTCTTCAATTCAATGTTCATCATGTATTTATAAGGGATTTTATATAACGAAGAAAAAGTGAGCTCACTTTGGCACGATAATACTTTCCTTATAGTTTAGCTTACATTTGAAATGACTATTTTGGAAGTAAATAAATTATATTTTATTATAAGGAGTTACATATAACTTTAACTTTATTTTATTAACTGACGATGAGACGACTATCGCTATTAATAGGAACCGAGGCTCACTGGGGGACCCTCGAGTTTAGTCACCCATAATCGAGGTACAGGAGTCCGGACCATTGTGGACTGGGGAGACTGGCCCGCCAGTTGTGCCCAAAAAATATTCCCTTACGTGTGTCAGTGGCTGGCAATAAGAGACACCCAATCTTGAGATTGGCCTAGTACATTTTCACTCCTCGCCAGGCAGAGTCACGAAAGAAAAAAGAGGGGGAGTTGAGGAATATCAAATAATCAAATAATTTGCCATTTCTGTAAATAAGACAGTAGTTCACATAATTAAACACAAAGACACAAAATTAAATAATTTAGAAATAAAAATGAGGTACTAATAGAAATTGTATTTATACATACTATGTATACGATACAATTCTAGAGTAAAATGTAATAAATTAGGAAGAAGGAGTAATAATACTGCAAAGCCACCGTAAAAAATAGTAAAATAAAAAGTAATTATGAGAAAAGAATAGTAATGGTTAATGGCGACAAGGAATGGCAATTTAAGTACCTATAGATTTTATAAGTTAAGTAGTAAATGATAAATAAAATAAGAATAAGATGTAAATGTAAATCAAAAATAGACATGATATAGGAACTGCTGTAAGTTAAGACAACAAATTAAAGATAATATAAATGTGTACAGTAAAAGTATACTACTAACTATATATTATAAACTATTGTAATAATTAGTAAGCGATGTATGTAGAATAAGAATAAGATATAAATGTAACTTAAAAATTAGACACAAAATAGGAAATGTAGAAAAAATATTTAACGGCACGCGTTTCATTCTCTTTCTGTCTCTCTCTTCATCTTCTTGATTATTGCCAAGGATAGTGAGAGAGAGAGAGAGAGACAGAAAGCTGTCTCTCTCTCTCTCTCACTATCCTTGGCAATAATCAAGAAGATAAAGAGAGATATACTGTCGATTCAATTTTTTTATTATTATTAAAATTTACCAATTAATTATTTATTTAATTTAAACAATTATTACGTATTCCCTGCTATTTGAAAGTTATTTAAAGTTGTAAAATGCATGTACTGTGTCTCCTTCCTTTGCTCGTTTGGCTACTTTTCACATAAAAAATAAATAAATATTATGTATCTTGTACCTCTTTGTTTAACTTATGATGGTCAACGTCGACCCATTTATTCGATATCAAATATTGAACTTTTTATTCTTCACTGATTTCTTCACTGCAAGTCGTCATATAATAGCGCTGGTTTTAGGTGTCAAAGAAAACGAGAGTGTCATATCCAGCTCAAGGTGTGTTTAGCAAACAAACAAACCTTAAGAAAACTAACGGAAGGTTTAAAGTCTCGTCTCAGACGTAATATAAATTATTATGGCAGGCAAATACAACGGTATTTTTGAGAAATAAGGTATTTATACATATTTTTAATTTTTGGGAAAATTTTCAATCCTTAGTATTATAAATTTACAATTTTTATAGTTTGTAATTTAAATAAATAAATAGCAATCAAAAAAGAAATCGCTCACATCTTCAATTCAACTACAGACAGTGCTTTCTATTTGTCTATGAAAGTATTAAATCAAAAATAAAATGGCTCTTAGTTAACCAAAAAACCGTCAACTTATTCATTCATTTTACACTTGTATTAAAACCTAAAAAATATATGTCGTGTTACATAAAGACATAATTTAAATCACAGTTCAAATCGATATTGATTAAACGTTATTGCTTCTACAATCAGTATTTAAGATTTAATCTCAGGTTGCTCGAGTATATTGAACTAAAAGCCAACACCTGTATACTGAGCTATGTGAAATTCTAAGGCCTAATGATATAAGGTACATATATTATAAGTCCTTTGAATCTAATATAAGGTTGATGAGGTATTGAATATTGATAGTGTGTTATTTTATTGCCATCATCAGATAGATAAGCGTTTCGTATTCTATTTCCGCCATCTACTTTCCTCAGCCTTTCCAACTGCGACACATTTCTGTATAGTATCTAGTAACCAAGAGTACTTTTACCTCGAATGAGATAATATAAAATGTTATTAAATATGTTTTAACTTCTAAATAACTCAGCTAAGCCGTAGGAAATAAATTATGAAAATTATTTAATGTGAATTATCATATTATTAACTACAATAATTCTCACCGTTTTTTAACTTCTTTGGTTTTTACTTGGTAAGAAAATAATACAAAACAGCAGATTAAAAAATGTATACACTAGGTAAGCTTTATTAAGCTTTTAAGATACGATCTCCCCCAACATGGTGAATTCGATTAATTTTAACGATCACTTCACAAGAACTGTTCTAAGTTTAATTGAACGGTACTTTTTTTAGTTTTAATCCGAACGTTAAACGATATTTGAGCAAAAGAGTTGTATGTTTCTGAAAAAACAAATATGGTACTTTAAAAGTTGGTATGTCGGTTCGTTAAGATCACGCGTTCGACCCCTATTACAACGAAATTTCGTTTCTATTTAAATGACTGAGATGAATTCAAGAATGATGCAAAAAAAAGTTAAAATACGATACCTATTTGAAGGTCAGTGTACAAATTTTAGAATTTTAGTTCAAACGTCGATAATTGAGTTTTACTATTGTGACTGTGACAAATCTATCTAATATACAAAATTCTCGTGTGACGGTATATGTAATTGAACGGCTCGACCGATTTTCGTGAAATTTTGTGTGCACATCGGCCAGGGCAGAGAATCGGACAACATCTATTTTTCATCCCCCTAAATGTAATGGTGGTCCACCCCAAACACTTTTTTCTACCCTACAAATAATTTATATGGCAAAACAACGTTTGCTGGGTCAGCTAGTAATATTAATAAAATTGAATTATGCTTATAATGTTTTTAAGATGTTTTGACTTCTTAATATTAGTTTTTTTTTAGTTATCTTATAAACATATTACAATTTAATGAATAATTTTGAAAGGACTTGATTTTTATTTTAATGTCGGATTTAATACTTGAGAATTAGCAATGACAGTGAAGAAGCTGCTCTAATTTTAATTGATGTGTCACAGCCAAATATCTTATAAGCTAAATTTTAGAAAGGTTTCAAAAACAGAGTTTATAATATGATATGTATACAATGGTATACCCATCACATTTAACTCATAATGTAAAAAAATACACAATTACAGAGTATTATTCCGAGAACATGTTGCGGAAAAGTATGGTTTCAAGGGATCTTTACAACCAACGCACGGCGACATTCCAATCGGCTATGAAATTGTCCATTGCAATAGGCCAATGTTTTGGTCTCAATCCAGTTATTGGAATTTCCAATATCGATGCAACAAAAGTGCGGTAACTCTCATTCTCTATTTTACTAAAATATGACAGTCTTTCTTTAGTATTATAGACTAAAATAATCTAGAAGTAGAGAACTATATGCTAAAAGTTGCCTAAACATATTTTTCACAAGGAGATAATTTTTGATGACTCCGTGACGCAGATGCCAATGTATTGGCTTCGGCGTCAGGGGTCGTGGGTTCGATTCCCACACGGGACAACTATTTGTGCGTCCCATGTGCGTGCGAGATTAGTTGTTTCGCATCTGGGTGTTTGTCCTCGTGCAATTTATGTTTTTAAAAACGTCCTTACAACACAGGATAATGTTATCCTAAAGTGAGGGCAACGTTTATTTTTTTTTTTTGAAAAAAAAAATTCTGAAAATTATTAATAATCCAGATGGGAACAATCTGCACGATGTTTCATATTCAAAATTAGATGGAATATAAAAAAAAATTGAAAAATGCGCCGTATGAACAATTTTTTTAATTCATTTAATTTTACTACCTTAGTACTTTTATATCAGCTATGATGATTTTACAGTAATAAAAATTATTCTTCACTCATTATGAACTAGTGCCACCCGGATACGCTTTAGTTTTCACGGTTTGTATATGAGAAATGTAAGAATCTATTGTTAGATATGCAATATTAGATAAACATGCCCTCAGTCGATTCTGCGACAGCTAATTATAGCCAACTACACATTTCGATTTCATTGACTTATAAACTTTTTTGTTGACCAAATTAATTTTATACTTGAGTATATTATAATTTGTTTTAAAACTGACGTAACTATTACATTTTTCTTCGTTATAAATTCAATTTATTGGTTATATTTTACCAGGTTTACATTTTTTTCTGCACGATGCTTGTACACGATCTTCTCTATTATGGGACAAGCGACAATGTTGTTCATTTGTATATTAAAATTTTTGAGAGATACGGATACATCGCTTACCTCTAACAGTAAGTTAACCTTTTCGATGCGTATTTTATAATAAATAAACGAATTAACAGCTTGGGTAAGTCCTATTAGCGAGAAAAATAACCTTTGACCGACTTGTCTTGAACGAAAGCGGTGTGTAATAATGGCATTAATTGGAAATCTCTGATCTCCACCTATGCGTTGCTCTACAGGCTAAATAAAGCTTTGCATATATTTTGCACACATCCATTAGGTTGTTGAGTGGTTAGTTTGAAATTTAGATAGCATTTCTTCTTTTTCGCCTCTTAAGATTCTTGATAGTAGTTAGAATCACAAAAGTTTTTTTTCATTACGTAAAATGGCTCTTTGAAAATAATGAAATCAAATTACCAAACGAAACTTATAAAGATATAATTGAAACATAATAACATAATAACTGAACTTGAAAAGTTTACAAAACTTGTGGAAAATTTGTATAAGGTTATAGGAGATTTTGAACTTTTTAAAATACAATAACTACCGCTTTTGCGCAAAAACTCTCTAGAAAAACTGCCGCTGCCGACCCGTGGCAACTATCATAATAGGAAAAATCCTCATTTAACCCATTATTTTCAGCATCACTGGCGTTCTACAGCTCCAACTTTATGACAACGGTGTTATTCTTACGAATGGCTACAAAATGGCCGCGCTTGTGCCTGCAAATCTCGATGACGGAAGCCACAAGCCCTAATATTGACATGACACTAGTCAAGAAATGTAACATGACTTGCATTCTCGTTCTGACATTGGCTCTAGGTGGGTGTTCATAGGTTAGAAATAAAAAATGGTATTCATTGTTTATTTGGTTCATAAACTTAGTGGTATAAATATTCTAGACTCAAAAAAAAGTGAAAAGTATATACAAAAGTACATTTAAATATATAATTATGTTTAAACACTCAATGCTAGTAGAATACATACGAAAGCTATAAATAACATGATAAAATAAGCACATAAACAAATTAAGAAAAAACATTAAATTTAGATACTGATTTATAATTACGTACAAACTATGTTTGATAATATGTTTTGCAGGCTTTCGCCAACAACGTAAAACATATCGATGTTGAATGCCATGTATTTAAACAATGACACCACTCGATAGAGGGGTAAAAGTTCCCCGATATTTGTGCGTCCGAAAGGAAAAGAAATAGCATTTTCTATTATTGTCACGTATTGTTTCTTAAAGTATTCATAGTATCAATTATTGTTTCTTAAATAGCAAATCGGACTGAAAATGACAGAATTTTCTTTAATTACTGACCCGATATACACTCTCAACTGACTCAATATAATTGAAAGACTTTCAAACAATTTAAAATTAGAAGTAATTGAAGACTCAACATTTCTCGTTACAGTTGAACATATTTTATCTGACTTATCGGGATTAGCGGCAGTCATTGATTGCGAACCAGAAAAAAATGTCTACGAAGCTTTCGTCAAGCGCAGCTTCCCTTGGGTATACGTATTTTTAACATACAACCATTTCATTGGATTTTTATCACAGGTAGATGTAACTGTTTTGCGTATTTACTATAATTGGTAGAAAAAATTAATATGCTTTCTTTGGACCTAATTTTGTAAACTGTACACGTAAATTAAATGATCATACGATCTATTTTGTATATTGTTGATCTCTTACATTCAACGTACACAAGAAAATTTTATTGAAATAAATGCCAATTTAAAAATAATTATCAGTAGACAATGTGAAAAAAAAAATCTATGAGAAATAACTTTTAAAATATCTGGTCTTTGTACGATTACGATATATGTTGATTAAAATACAAATATAGCATATTAAACTTTCTTACAGTTCATAAACATACAATCCACGTTTACGTGGAGCTTTGCTGATTTATTCATAATATGCATCAGTTTCTACTTGATATCGAGGCTTGAGCAAGTTAATCTGAAAATTGTTGAAAATCGAGGCAAAGTAAGTCGATGTATTTAAAGAAAAACTTAAATGTAAAATTTATTTAATTTATTTGTTTACCGGAGTAAGTTATGCAGGAAATAAAGTTCTTTTATTTCTACGTTTTCTAATTATGTTCCGAACTTGATTCTCGATTCCATTCCGTCCGTCCTATTGAACAGGCAATAGCTTCGGATCAACGAAGGGTCGCCCATTGACGACTTTTGTGCGAAAGCTGCTCATTACGGCTCTTTTTATGAATTTCACATAATTCTGAATCAGATGTTTTGGATGAGAAACTATTTACATATCCTTGAATGTCATTAAAAATGAGTTGTCAATTACTTAATTTTCTACAATTTCCCTTAAAAAGCTCGAGTATTTAAATGTAAAACAATACTGTTATAAATTTTGATTATATACGCTCATTTGTAGAAAGTATTTCTTCATTTCAGAATATGTCGCAGCACTTTTGGCGAACTGTTCGTGAGGACTACACTAGAGCGGCTACCCTGGTACGCCGTGTCGATGAAGTGATCGGCGCTATAATATTTATCTCTTTCGCCAATAACCTCTTCTTTATTTGCCTGCAACTGTACAACACATTGAAGTGAGTAAAGGAAACTGTTCATTATGTCATTAGAACATCAAAAATGGAATGGCCATCAGCAGCTTGTAGCAGGCACATCATGGTCATGCTTCAAAGGAAAAATATTGCTCCATAATAATTCCAAAATTGTAAATGTTTAAATGACTTTGATTATTTTACGGGCCAGTCGAACTGCCAGTGTACTAAAAATATGCTTCACATTTAAATTTTTGACTGAAGCTGGTTTTGAAAAAAAAAATCTACATTTTGTGGCACGAATTGCCCAAAATTATTACTAAGACTAAAAAACTTTTAGACGACTTTAAGCTAATTATTTCATTTACTTGACATTTTAAAAACCTATTTAGTGGGCTCTTAATTGGTGTATAACGTGACATAGTAAAAAAATATTAATTCACTTGAGAAGGATTCCTGCCCCTGCTGCGTGGCACAGAGGTTAAGGTGAGTCGTTTCATATTTCAAAAACAGCCCAAGCCGTGCAGATGATGCATTTAATAGTATGATCGGGACTGAAAGCAAAAACATCAGTTACAAGATATAAGATATTGCAAAGAATCTGGAAGCACTATTAAGATACCGTTTTATCAAGAAGAGGCATTTAACGAAAGAAAGCCATGTATTTAACCACGAAATGTTTGCTGGTTAACGAAACGTTGATTAGATCGGAAAAGCAAATATTAACGAAGTTATTGCCCTGCCCGTCGCTCTTCATCACATGGTGAACACAAAGCTGCCAGATTTAGTTTTTCGAAATTGTGTGTCGTCGGCGAGTGCTACGTAGATGACCATTTTGCAGGGACCATCGAAACAGCACTCTGGCTAGATACCGATACATATAGGAAATTTTAACTCCTCATGCACAATTTGCATTCATCGATCTTGGCAACTAAATTTTTCATAACTGAATTTTAACATCCGATGAGGGATACCTCATTGCCATAGAGCATGTCTGGGACGTTCTGAAGCAAAGAGTGAAATCAGTGAGCCCGGCTTCTTAGGTTGTCAGATTCAGATTAAAGTACAAAAAACTATACAGGATATATTAACTAGCTTCCTAAACCTAAACCGTCATTTCAGCCAGAGTGATGAGAGAATACAGACATTAACGAATTCTGAGAAGAGCAAAGATAGAGGAAATGCGAGTCCCCGAGGAGCTGAAATCTTTCTTTTAGATAGAAAGGTGTGTAGGGGTCATAGAGGATAGAAAACAGAGTAGACAGGATACAAAAGTCTTTGCGCTGTATCATCAACCACTTTAGTTGGGTACGGAAGTATGACACGTGGTCATATTTGCGCATCCCAAAGACAAATCGTATGCAGTTATTGAGTAATCTCTCCAACGATTTGAACATTATTTCTAATTAATTATATTTAAGAAGTCAAGGAAAACTAACAAATACTGTTAATTTACGTGATTCCGTGGTTAGATTAACATGGACGAAAAAATATAAAAAGAAAATTGGAAAGGAGCATTAAAACATGTAGAAAAAGTACGAAAAGATTGTCGCCGCTGTGGGAATCGAACCCACGTCTTCGGCATTCGCGGCCTGACGCTCTAGCCACTGAGCTAAACGGCTGATAGCCACAGCGACGAAAATCTTAACGCCTTCTTTCTACATTGTTATTTAGCATTTGAAGCAATGCTTGGCGAATATATTGTTATATCCTTTCCAGCATACAAACAATTTCGAATATCGTTTTACAACGATAATTCGAACGAGAGATGTCGCCATTGCTTTTTATAAATTTTAAAGTTTTTTATAGTGCTAATCTCTGCACCCAAGATTGAACATTAAAACATGTAGAAAAAGTACGAAACGATTGTCGCCGCTGTGGGAATCGAACCCACGTCTTCGGCATTCGCGGCCTGACGCTCTAGCCACTGAGCTAAACAACATTAAACATTATGTTTTAATGTTCAATCTTAGGTGCAGAGATTAGCACTATAAAAAACTTTAAAATTTATAAAAAGCAATGGCGACATCTCTCGTTTGAATTATCGTTGTAAAACGATATTTGAAATTGTTTGTATGCTGGAAAGGATATAACAATATATTCGCCAAGCATTGCTTCAAATGCTAAATAACAATGTAGAAAGAAGGCGTTAAGATTTTCGTCGCTGTGGCTATCAGCCGTTTAGCTCAGTGGCTAGAGCGTCAGGCCGCGAATGCCGAAGACGTGGGTTCGATTCCCACAGCGGCGACAATCTTTTCGTACTTTTTCTACATGTTTTAATGTTCAATCTTAGGTGCAGAGATTAGCACTATAAAAAACTTTAAAATTTGGAAAGGAGCAATTGTTAATGTCCATGTGCAGGGGTAATCATTTAACATCAGGTGAAAAGCATACCACCTTACCTACTTTTGGCATCAAAATAAAAAATAAAATTAACAATAGGATTTTCATTTTAGGGACGGAATCAAGGCCACACCTTTATGCAGAGAACAAGACATAAGGTGAATAATTATTAATAATTTATTATTTTGTTTTATTTAGCAAAATTCCATGTTTTTTTTATGTTATATTATATTCTAAACCATACCGCAGTGTTTTTAATCCTTTGTTAGCGTGAAGAGAATGTACATTTTATTTCTCCCAGTTTCGGCGCCCTATTCACATTATAGCGGGGACATGTTCTTATAACACAGAAATAAAAAATTCCTTAGCAGAAATACAATTAGATGACTCAACGGTGCTGGGGCAGAGTTATTACCACATAACCACGAGCAAGATTAATTCGCACCTTGAAAAGGCATTGCTTTATGATGAATTATATATTATTTATTTAAATTGTCATTATGTATATATATTTACCAAAATTATTATGCTTAGCACTCATGAGCACATCGGAAATTGCCCTTGACCTATCGTTGTATATTGGACATTGCCCAGTCTTAATTCATCACCATAGTTCTTAGCAAATTTTAATAAGTTTTGCACTTAACATTTTAATACGTTGTAACGTTTAGAGATTTCGTATGAATTTGATTTGCAGACCGCTTCACGGATACGAGCAGGCAACGTACTTCATGTATTCCTTCATTTTTCTCGTGATGAGATCGTTAGCGGTGTCACTAATAGCATCCCGCGTGTATGCTTGCAGCCGAAAACCAGCAGTCTCGTTGTACGAGGTGTCTTCCAGCGCATACTGTGTAGAGGTAATCTACGGGTATCAAATATCGGATCCGAAAGTTTGTTATAGCAAAATATGTTTGAATGAACAAAAAACACAACGACTTGTAAGTCGTGTTTTATGTGCAACTAGTTATGTGCAATCACTCTTTAAGTATTGTAATACTTAAAGAGTGATTGCACATAGCTAGTTGTTATTTTTTATTAATAGCAAAGCAAAGCTGCCACATAGAAATAAAATTGAAGTAGTCGTTATACTTATAAGCAGTAATACGATTAATAAGATTGAAGTTAAGACTTCACTATAATCACTGTGACTATTTAAAGATCATCTCTATAATTTTAAGTAGGCAGCTATGATTTGTAATTTTCAAGTTTTGCTGTGTTGTTTATGATTACAATGCTTTTATAGTATAAAATCCATTAAACTCAAAATAATTTACTGTCAGTTTTTTAAAGTTAATTAATATACAATTTTTTTTTAAGATCCGGAGATTTTTGGACCAAATCCATGGAGACACGGTAGCGTTGAGCGGACTCCAGTTTTTTAATATAAAAAAAGGACTCGTCCTGTCAGTGAGTTTACTTGCTTTCAATGTAATCATAATACTATTATTAAAATCGAAAAAGGATTATTGCTAGGAAAGCTGGTTATTATTTTGAAAATTTTATTATTTTACCGCTAACAATGGGAATACTCCTACTTAATCATTTTAAGCCAATCAATTGGTTTCCGGATTAATACTCATTTGTAGTGCTGGTCTCTGTACTCAAAATAAAACTTTATTTTGTGAATTTTTGTATATAAGTAAACAAAAACGTACGGTTTGCTTCCAGATGGTGACTAAGACTCGAATCCCGCAAAGTCGAAAGTTTCTGTTCATTTGTCTACAGAAATTCACAATTTAAATTCGTTGGTTTTTCTAACATGTAGAGGCATTCAAAGGAAAAAATCGTGCAGAGTTCTAGTTGCCAACTTTTATTTAAATAAATACTCTTTTCATTTTCGCTATGGTAGGGCAACAGCTTCTGTTTCTCACAGTAGTAGGTAATAATTTACTTTTGCATTTCGCCTGGTGAGTGAAGTAGCCTACTACATCAGTGGTTGAAAAAGCTTTTGCGACTACACTAAACATCAGGTGAACCACCTGCTTCCTTTGCCCATTTTACACTTATCGAATAATGATTTTATTATTATTTAATTAATTGAATAACTACTCTTTTCCAGATTGCTGGAACGATTGTTACATACGAATTGGTGTTGCTCCAATTCACTGGAGTTACGCCAACATCAAGTCCACCAGCTGCGGATTGATTTAATTATGAAATCGAGTTTTTGATATCGGAATGCTCTAGCCGAGTCGTAAGAATACTTGGAGGCTACTCTAACATTGACATCAGGTCACAGTGGACTCAGTGGTCGGGTTTGTCAGGATATTTCGGATTTTTTAAGTTAACACAATGGTGTGATCCATAATCAATGGTCGAAAGAAGTGGAATTAAAGTGACAAATTCCACTTTGACACCTGTAGAATCTAGTATGTATGAGTTCACACTGGAAGTAAAAAGTTGTCGTCTAGTAAAAACCCGTTTTGACGCACTTATTTTAATTTAAATTAGCAATATAAGCACATCCGCTTCATTGGTGTTCTAATAGTTTCGAAATATTGAAGTTTAGTTTTAACACATAAAAGTAGTATATCTAGATTAAACACGTATCACATAACATATGTATATTTTGTTCCGATTATCCTATGTAATGTAAAAAGAAAAAAATCCTCAAAATGTTAATGTAGGTACTAACACTATAAAATAAAAGATTTTGTGTTGTTGATGTTCTGAGAGAAACATCTGTGCATTATATAATATATTCCTTCAAATATGTAGTTAGTAACATTATAAAATGAAAGAGTACATTACTAGCGACCCGCCCCGGCTTCGCACGGGTGCAATGTGTTATATACAGCGTGTCATTACAATCGCGACAATAAATGAACACACATATAGAGGAAAACTTTTTAAAATTATATCAAACATTTACATTCTTTAAACATCAATATTTACCGACTTATAAAATTTTTCAAAACAAACAATTTTAGAACACCTTTACGTATAAAACTGTAACGTAAAGTTCATTTGTAAAGGTCACAAAGCATATGAATGGGTTGAATGAATTAAAAAGAGATAAAACATACTGTTAGAATGAGGGATTTGTAATGCGTCGCTGTGGCAACGAATGAAAAAGTCTCTGAATGTATGAATTAGTCAGTTGTAGTTCTATAGGATGTTACAAATTTTGTTTCTTTTTTATTTAATTAGTTTGTTTGACAAATATTTTTTTATATGTAAACCTTCCTCTTGAATCACTCTATCTAATAAAAAAAACGCATCAAGATCCGTTTTAAAGATCCAAGCATACAAAGGGACAGACAGACAGCAGGACGACTTTGTTTAACATAAATAATCATGATAACTCTAAATTAAGTATACTCGAGCAACTTGAGATCATTTCCAGGACCGAAATGAATTCATTTTTTCTGAAAAGGTGGCAAACAAGCTTGTGGCGCACCTGATCAAACCTGATCTGGTCGACGTATTCCCCATGTGTTTATATAAAACTAGCTTTTCGCCCGCTGCTTCGCTCGCGTTGAATCCCTTAAATAAATATGTTTCAACCGTTTATAACACTTTTTAAAATTAAAACATAGCCTTTTTTTAAATTAAAGCATGTCCTTTCTCAGACTCTAGACTATCTGTGTACCAAATTTCATTTAAATCATTTCGGTAGTTTTGAGACAGCGAGACAGACAGACAGACGGATTTACTTTCGCATTTATAACATTAGTATGGATTTTTATCGATATTATACACTATGGATGAAACTTCAAAACAAAGTCGTTAACAGGACGTCGCGGTTCAAAGCTGCGGCTTCCGCCCTCGAGATCATAATTGGATTACGATCTGGAATGCCATTATTGCTTTTGATCCAACATTAAAGGGAAATCAGTTCGTCCCTATTCCAGTCGCTTTTTACAAATGCGCGAAATTTAAATGTACGTTGGGGTTTAATTTGAAAGGGTATTTTGAAAATATGTAAACATTGAAATTTGCGAATAAAAGGTTTATTAAACTGACATTATTACTTAAGAGAATAAAATATAACTTAATATTTTTTCTCATTACTGAAAAACTACGTTTAATTTGTATTTTATCAATATTGACACTAACATATTGATTTGATAATATTAACCGTTCATTGAGCGGTATGAAAAAAGTCAACGTTCCGGAAATTGGATGAGAACGAGCTCATATTTTATTAATGTTGCCACCATCTGAAAACAAAACAATATAGTGAATGTCTAAATACATGAATATTCCTAAATAAATATGCATAAGCACATAAAAATCGATAAGCGATGGGGAAGAAAGTTTCCTGAGTAGCAGCCTCATACTCGTCATACTAGTACTGGCCAGCGCAGCGGAGGACGACCCGCACTGGATGGTATGACGACCTGTGCAAATGTGCGGGAATTCGATGGATGCAGGTGGGTCAGGACCGTAGTTCGTGGTAGTCTGTGGGAGGCCTATGTTCAACAGTGGACTCAAACAGGCTGAAATGATGTTGATGTCCATGACGTAAAAATCTGCATTAAATCAATAATTTTGATCTCACGACTTCTGGAGAATTGACTAAAAAACTTACATACAAAATGAATTCCCTCGTAACGTAGAAAAATTTTAAACCGCTCAAACTTAATTTTGAATGGAATATTTGATCCATGAATCTTTGCATCTGGAAAGTGAAGAATTTTTTTGTTAAGTAGCTAAGACAATTACGAGAAGTGATCAACATAAAAAATCTGAGATAGAAAAATGAGATTGATTGAAAAATGGATGAAGAAAGAAAAATGAGATAAACGCTATCATAAAGTACTTCTGTTTGAAAAAGTTTAGTGAAAATATTAGGGGATTCTGTTCCTCCATATTGCAACGATGCACGCTGAGCTAAAGAATTTAAGGCTGGAAGAATGTCCACTGCAGTTGATCAGCATGAAAGACAATGCCCCTTTTCTCCCTAAAAAAGGACGTCCATCTACATACCGCGATGATTTCATATGGCAATGTTCAAATAATTCTTGTCAATAAAATACGTACGAAGAAGATCTTTTCGTGTTGGATGCTGACGAATAAAAGAAGAAACAAGTTGGCTTTTTAAGGGTGAAACTAGAAAAGTATAAAACAGTACAGGGGGATTTATGTCACCCTTTTGTGTTTTGGGAGAATTAAGACAAAGAACTTTTTTCTAAAGGTATCCTGGGTTTTGAAAAAAGATGGACCAAATCTTACACTTTATTATCATCACTTTTGGATTACCCCTCTGAGTATTTGGAATATTCATTATCATTACTTTTAGACCAACCCAATTAAAAGGTAAAAGAGGTCCAAACTGTTTTTTTTACATAATAGTACTAGACGGTGACAATTATAATAGAATGTAATGTTATAACTAAACAGTATTACTAATTCATGAATATTATGAGAAAGTTCTTTGGTTACAAAAACCGTGGCATGGCATAAATCAGTTCAGTCGCAATATGGGTGATATAAAGATCGGAAGAACTTTAGAAGAAATAGAGATTATCATCACGACACCTAGTATAACTATAATATTATTCTTTATATGTTCATTTACTTTTCTGTCTATTTGGATATAGTAATTTTAACTGTGGTAGGGCCACGCAACAATTTTCCCTGTTGCACAAATGGGCAGGCCTGTTCGGGAACAGCTCTGTAGTCTGGGGTACATAGAATAGGGCTTAGGTATCCCCTGCTTGTCTTAAAAGGCGACTAAAAGGGGATATGGACTAGCAGCAGTACGAAGTGGTCTCGGGCGGTTGCAGAACGGCGAGGGAGTCGGGGAAGGATTATTCTTCTACGAGACGTGCTCATACGCGGTACTGAGGGACACCGGTTTCTTCCGTAGGAGATACCGGAGTCCCTCCAAACGGACACAAGGTGGCCACCGAGGGGGCCTTAGTGGATACGAACCCTACATAACATTACCGCGTCATCCCTTACATGACGTAAGGCATGACGGGGTACATTTTAAAGATTTACCGCCCGATAAGGGTAATAACGACGACCTTACAGAAGAGCTGCGTGGAGTGGAAATATTATTATTATACTTCTGTGTTTCGTCTGATGAGTGAGATAGCCGGTGCTCACTTTTTAGCGACGTATCTAACTCCTACAGGTGTTGCAAATGTCAATGAAGCGCGGTTATCACTTACATCAGGTGAACCGCCTGCTAGCTTGCCACCTTTTTATTCACTCTTGCTTAAACATACATAAGGTCGTGAATTTTTGAACCTTCATTAGAAAATTCATTTTTTATAAGACTGACAACCAAACTTTCTAGTGGTCTGATGAATAGATGATTGGTGATTACTATTTACCACCCATTCATACCCACAACAACTGTAAGGAAGCAGAGTTGGTAACTTTTAGAACAGTGACTTTCAAGGTACCCACCGTAAAAATATAAAATACTTCCAATTTAAACGAGAGGCCCTAGTGTTTTTTTAGCAGTTAAGGGAACAGTTTTTAAAAATGTTTATTGTTCTTTATTCATTATGTGCTGTTTCATGCATTAGTTTAATTTATTGTAAGTTTTTTGAAGATTTAAAAGATTTACAAGATTTAATCTATCTAAAATTACATATTATCTAATAAACCTAATCCACGCGGCTTAGGCCAAGAACAATAGCTGCATTTTACACACTTTTAGTTTAACTGGAATTGAATTACTATTATTTAATTAATTTTACATTACTTTGCGATTATAAACTGAAGCGGGTACAGTATGCAATACATTTAGAGGTTCCCGGGTCAAAGTATGATGATGCGCTAGAAGCAGAAAAACTAAAGCAGCTCTTATTATAACTAACGTTGTTGAGAGTGCGAGATAAACGGCAGGCTCCCAATTAACGCTGAAACTAATAAAAACATTAAAAAATTATTAAAACATTAAATAAGTATAAATGGTATCAATAGTCATCTTGGAACAAATGCATACTTGCTGATCGATAACTCTGAGCTCTCATTCGACGTCACCAAATTTGATGATTGCAATGACCTTTAACGAATATAAACTTTAATTATGATATATGTTCTAGAAATAAATCATTTCACATTTGATCCAGACAAATTTACGAATCAAAAATTTAACAAGAGTTTTTGAATAAATTTGTTATTCCAACTTTAATAAATGTTCTTACCCGAGGACAGAATTATCAGAAATAAAACTATACT